TTCCTACACATATAAATAGACCTAAAAATGCCACTTTTGAAGGGAGATCGAGTTTGGATACAACTTAAGACCTAGGGAGAGCACGGAGCCATCGCGGAGACTGGAGATTTGACCTAAGGATGCAAGAACACACTAGGAGCAAGGCGGAGAATTCTTCTAGGAGTTTTTCACTTCCTTCTTCCTATTTCCATTATTGGTTATGAATTCTAGTATTGTAGTTATACATACTATTATGAATAGCTAATTTGTTATCTAGGGTTTTGATGGAACCTATTGGAGGATGGTTTTTTCCTGTTACGTTAATATAGATTTGCTGTAGTATTTTCTCTATTTGTTCAACTATGTTTATATTGTGGTTGGTTGAAGAGCTCTCAATCGACTGTGCCTATTTAGTGTGTATTACTTGGGAGAGAGTGCATATTTAGGTAGTTGTTGAACAACATCACTCCTAGCGTATATGAGGGATCAATACGGAGGGTTTAAATGTGGGATTAGGGATAACGAAACCTTGGTGCGATCCGAGTGAGCCGTACTTAATGCCAGCTAGCGTAATTTGGGAGAATATATATAGTAAATTGTGGTAATTACTCAGGAGAGAGTTACGACAGTCAGAGTGCTCATGATCGGTAGATTAAACTTAGGCAAATTTATAGAAAACGTAGCGGAAAGGATTCCGACAATAGAGGAAATCATAACTCTAGACCTCCTTAATCTTGTCTCCAATCTTTATCCTTGTTAATTGATAGTTTTACTGATTTCTAGTATTTGTTAGTCAATTAGATAAAAATAAACATTATAATCTTTATAATTAGGAAATTGTTTGGACTTGTGTTTCTTAGCAATATTGCACCGCTGTAGCTAAGCCTTAGTTCTCTGTGGGACGGACTTGTAAACCGGATTATATTTGCAACGACCGCTTAGTCCTTTTTATAAGGCATTGTTGGGCGTGATCACTACCAAACGAATCCCCTCAAACGAATAATCCTCGAAAATTCTTTCTATCTAGGGGTTAAAAGATGCTTTACAAATTTACACTATAACCCTATTTTACCTAGAATAGGTAAAGAATAGTCATTGCTCTCTTAAAATATATATACAAGCCCCATATATACAGGCTAGGTTTAATTTATTTTTTAAGAGAGAGAGAGAGAGAGAGAGAGAGAGAGAGAGAGAGCTTAATGCAGTTTAAACACAATGCAAGCATATACGAAATCATGAAGGACAAACAGAAGCAGTGAGGAACCAGAATGAGTGCAGGACCATAAGAGTATATACAGAGGCACTTAGCAGAGAGCATAAACTAGGTCTTGACTTATATTAGATGATGAGTTGCTAGATTCATTTAGGAATCTCTTAAAGAGCATTAGCAGAGGTGTTTGTGTTAGTTGACAGGCCAATATTAAGCTAAGCATATGACATGATTAATTTCTTTTCAAAGAGCTCTAAGTATCATATTCATACCGACTTTATTTGAAAGTGAAGGCACATTACAATACTTAGGCAAATCAGATAATATCAAAGTTTTTCAGTAGTTCCAATAGTGGATTAGTAGACTCAGGTAAACTCAGCAGGTTTTAATGATACTGGATGCACAAGCATGAGCATGAAGGACATACAGAGATGGATGCAAAACTCTCATTCAAGTATATACATAAGATGTTCCAGCCAAGGTTATGACTTTACAAACAGGGTTGAGTTTCAAACTTTATGAAGTCAAGTCATTAATATCATTAAAGAAGTCCAGGACAGGGAGACTTTATACTAAGTAGGTCTAATTCAGCTGTTCAAATTAAGGGTGAAAATCTAACATGATAAAGTTCTGCTCAACCTGCTAACATAATAGTTATTGTCTAGTGACAACAGACACAATTGAAGCTTAATTCATAAGAGATAACCTTATCATGGCAGAATGCATACAAGAATAGTTTCAAGAGTTCATCAGAGTTAGCCTAGTTACCTCAACATACCCTTTTATGAAATGAGGCTCTCAGATGTAATCAACAGTTATATAAAGACACAAAGATGTTCACAGTAATGCCTCAAGGCTACTTCAGGATTGACAAACACTCATGTGAAAAAAAAGCAACTTAAACACTTAAACTAACATATTCCAACTAAGTGATAAAGTATTAGACCTAAAGCATTCATATATGTCCTGGTTATAATCATAAAAAAACAACCTTTAGTACATAACAAGAGACTACACTAAATAGAATTAGTGTGATAGACATGAAGACCACAGCAAAACATTAAAGAAATTTGAAGTATGAACAAGTATAGGAAGCTATTAAGGCATATCAAGGAGCTTAATTGTATGTTGTTTGATTTAGAATAATAGTCATTAAGGTCACATAACAGTTTGATCAATACTGATTCGAGACACATAAAAGCATAACAGTCAGTCATAGATCAATAAAAAATCATTGTGAGCAGGAACAAAAACTCATAAACTAATGACAAACATCATAAATGAAAGCAATCAATAGAAAGACAACAACGTATTCGTGATTTTGAATAAAACAATCAAAAGAGAAGGGGTCGAGGTATATTGACCTCCTTTTGTCCAGCAGACCAAAAAAAGGTTTACCTAGCCGTATAAGAACTAAAGTTTCGAGCTTTGAGCAGTGAAAGGACTCGAAAACAAAAGAGAAATAGAAATCAGTAAGAGAGCCTAAACTTTTGAAATCTTAGTGTGTTTTTGTGCTCGTATTAGGTCTTAGCTCCTCTTTTGGTGAGAGCATTGAAAGCCCTATTCATAATGGCATTCAATTCCTTAGGTTCAAAGGATTCAAACTAGATAGTGGAAGATGACGGAGAGTTGAAGATGCAAGCACGATTGAGGGAAATCAAAGACGACAGAGAGGAAAAACATCATAGAAATTACTTGGACATGGTGAAGTGAAAGATCGACCATTGAAGCATGAGAGACCGTCGGTCAGAACCCTAATACCCAGAGGTTATTGCATTTCACCTCTGCATATCGAATATCAATGATGAAGCCATCTAATATCCTCATGCTTGCTTCGATTTGAAAGCACAGAGCTAAATGCGGATGAAATCCCAAGTCATCGTTTTAGACCTAGGGTCTTGATTTGCGGCTTTGAATTATAACAACGAAAGAGTAAAGATCGGAGCGAAAATCGCGGCTAGCAAGGACAGAGAGAATGATTTCGTGGTTGATTCTTTGACCTTGCACAAATTTGTGCAAGGTCTTGAAGATTGATATGGCTACAAGTTTGAGAGAATATGGAGGAAAAAGGAAAGTGGGCGGCTGGCTTGGATGAAAATGAATTAGGGTTTGGGGGTTTCTCAAAGTTAAAAATGCAAGATTAAATGTGGGCCGTCGGATCATTTGATCAACGACCCAGATATTTAGGGAGATAAAGACTTTATAAAATGTTTAAATTACTAAAAACGGTGACCTTGGATCTCCCTGATTGGATTGTGGAGATTAAGTCTTAAAGGATTTAGGAATAATAGGAAAATGGAGATTAAACGTGGACCGTTAATGAAACAGATCAACGGTCCAGATCTGCTGTTATTTGTGAGCGAGGGAGAAATGTGACATGATGAGCTACGATTAGTTTAGGGAGAGGGGAGTGGATCGCCAAGGTGGAGTAGGTAGAGGGTTTGGACTGGGTTAGATTTGTTTGGGCTTTTCATTGGGTGTTATTGATTTAAAGAATAGCCTTTTGTATTTAATAGAGTATTACAATTATAGCCCTTAGCCACTTTTAATCCCTTTTGAAATTAAATTACATAAACTTATTTATTTTCAGTAAAAATTTAATAAAATTATAATTATCATATACACTACTAATTATTGTAAAAATTAATAAAATATAAAATTACTCTACTCTCAAATTGTAAGATTAGTTTCGAGTTATTGAAATGATAGACCAATTACCTAAAATCAAAGAAATAACTAATTAAACTAATTGTGAGGCCTATATATATATATATATATATATATATATATATATATATATATATATATATATATATATATATATATATATATAGAAGGTTATTTTATTAATCGTAAAATAGTAAGTATGATATATTTATAATTAAAATTATAAAATTGAATTATTAATACTAAATTAATTTTGTAAAATAGGTGTTATTGATTAATATATACAAAAACTTTCATTGTAAATTATCAAGTAAAAATAAATTAATTTTAAAAAGGAGGGTCAAAATTAGTCGTCAACAGCTGCCCCTTTTTGACCGGAGACGATGAAAGAGGTTTCGGGCAAGTAAATTGAACCAAAGCCAATTTTGTCCCGACTTTAGGCATATATTGCAGGAATAGCACGAAATTATGAGTTATAAGATTAGTAAGATATTAGGAGGATTTAGGAGAGTTGGGGGCTGAGTTTTAGCTTTGAATTGCTATACCTCGGGCTTAACGAGGATCAGGGCTCATGTAGTTCTAGAGTGATGACTTTGAGGAAGTGATGCTCGCATGAATTGTCCCAGCATCGTATTGTGACGATACTATGAGGCGGAGAATTTGGTGCTCACGATAGCTTTGAATTTGCGGCTTGACTTGAAAGATTTGAGGAATTAGAGTTCGACTGATCGTTTTTAATTTGGGTCCTTGGTCCGCTTATGAGTTTGTTATCCCTCATAGCATTGTAGTTTTGTTTGCTGCTTAGAAGGAATTCCACGTTACGATGTTTGTTCCTGCAAAAAATAAAATATACACATACCTATATATTGCAATATAGAATATGTTAAGATGTGATGTAAATGATGCAATAATGATAATGCCTTGCCCTTATTTGGGACAGGGATGATGGGATACTTGAATTTGACTGGATTGTTAGCCGGGCTGTGTTCCATTCCGCAGCTGACGGAGGATTGAGTCTCCTAGTGTCGGGAGTAGTTGGCTTGCATCTCTGCTTGCTGGGAGAGTTTTGCATTGAAAATATCTCCGCTTGATGGGAGTGATTGACTTGTAGAGTGCGTCTCTACTTTCTAGGAGAGCTTTGCACTTAAAATGTAAAGTATCTCCGCTTGATAGGAGCAATTGACTTGTAAAATGCGAGAGGCTTGTTGGGAGATCTTTGCACTGAAAATGTAAAGTATCTCCGCTTGATGGGAGCGATTGACTTGAAGGAAAACACAATCATGCCTGTAAGCTGCACGAGCAAAGCGTCAAAAAGTTCAAGATAACAATAAAGTAAAAGAAAAGCATGCCCAAGAGATATTCTTGACTGCGAGGCTAATTTGTGGCCATCGATTTGCAGAACATTGGCGACGAGGTTTGCAACTATCTATTCTTGTCTCCGATGTGATGGAGCGACGGTGCGGATCGCTCCCGTTGGCGGAGCAAAACAATTTACTTTATATAGGGCTTCGATTGGCGAAGCCGACGTTTGATTTGTACAGTGCACTCCGATCGATTGAGTTGAGATTTGCTATATACAAGGCTCCAGTTGGTGAAGCCAGCATCTCACTATGTACAACATGCTCTTGTTCAATTGAGCGATCGGTTTGTTATATACAATATGCCTCGTTTGCGTTAGCGTTCTGATTCCGTAATACCTGCAGGGATTTAGAGTTAGTTTCCGTTGTGCCAGGAAAATTTAAAATAGAGAGAGAGAGAGGGATGATAGTCCTGAGAGAGCGGCGGATCCGTCATTTGCCCCAGTGTATTTCCAACAGTTCCTTATGTCCTATTGGCCCTGCTCTCAAAGAAACTTCTTAGCGCGGGGGGTGGGGGTTTTGGTTTGTGTCGACCGTAGTCCTGGCTTTGCCCCAGTCCTAATAGGTTACGCCATGAAGATCGGTAGGTGGAACAAATTACGATATTTTTTAGAAAATACTTTTTGAAAATATTTGTTTTATGGCAAATGTCGTCATTCTGGATTATGACATGTTTTGAAGGTTCCTTGAGTGTGAGCGTTGTTTCTTGAAAAGTCTATCCCATTGATGTCAATCCTCACGATGCTTCTGATGACGCGGCTGCTTGCCGTTGCGATTATGTCCTAATCTGAACTAATGCATTATAAAGGTTTCCTAGGGTTATGCCCGAACCCTTTCAGGTTGCCTACGTATCCAAACAGAATTTGGTCAAGACGTAGTTCGATGATGATGATAAAGAAAGCATGATAAATATGACCGAGCCTGACTCAGGTAGTTTCCGTATCCAAACAGAATCAGGTCAAGATGTAGTTCGATTACAACATATGCAAAATGATGAGATTCAGAATGGAATGGCCGAGTTTGACTCAGACTACCTACGTATCCAAATGGAATCAGGCTAGAACCTAGTTCAATTTCAAAAGATGACTGAATTTGATGATGATCGCCTACGTATTCCTTCTAGAGGAAATTAAGTCGTGGCGTAGTTCCGAGCAACACACAAAATGATATTTGGATCTTCTATTACAAAAGAAATGGGAGAAAAACCGAAACCTATGTGGGTTTCCTACGTATCCCTCCATGGGAAGTCAGGTTGAGCGTAAGCCAAACCCTAACTCTATTACCTTCAAACATATTATCTCTTGATTGCGTCTGAGTTGATAGGCTTCGTGCTGACCCTTTCGTCCATCTCTGCCAAGATTAGATCTCCACCCAACAACACTCGGTGGACCACGTAAGGACCTTGCCAATTCAAAACTAACTTTCCTTTAGCTTCTTCCTGGTGGGGGAAGATTTTCTTCAGAACCAATTGCCCCGGTGTAAACTGGAGAGGCTTCACCCTTTTGTTAATTGCATTGGCCATCCTATTTTGATATAGCTGATCATGGCATACTGCATCCATTCTCTTCTCATCAATGAGCATGAGTTGCTCCTGTCTGAACCATATACACTCTGTATCGTCTAACTTGGCTTCTTGGATGACTCTTAAGGATGGTATCTCGACCTCTGCGGGTATCACAGCGTCGGTGCCATATACCAACATGTATGGCGTTGCCCTAATAGATGTTAACCCAGTAAGGCGAAGGATAGCTTCTCATGCCATTGCCTATGATTGTCCAATATCTTCCGCAGAATTCTCTTGATGTTCTTGTTGGTTGCCTCAACTTCTCTATTCATTTGTGGTCTGTAGGCTATGGAGTTGCGGTGGAAAATTCTGAACCTCTCACAAATATCCCTTATAAGATCACTGTTGAGGTTAGTTGCATTGTCAATGATGATTGACTCGGTTATCCTTAATCGGCAAACGATGTTGTTTCGGATGAAATCCGCCACTACCTTCTTTGTGACGGCCTTATAGGTAGATGCTTCGACCCATTTGGTGAAATATTCAATGGCTACCAAGATGAAACGGTGCTTATTTGATGCAGTGGGCTCTATTGGTCCAATCATATCCATGCCCCAAGCGGCGAACGGCCAAGGCAAACTTATTACATTTAACTCAATAGGCGGAACCCGGATGAAATCCCCGTGGATCTGACACTGGTGACACTTCTGCACATAGCGGATACTATCTCTTTCCATGGTCATCGAAAAGTATCTGGCTCTCAAGATCTTCTTGGCTAAGGTGAAACCGTTCATGTAGGGTCCACACGTTCTTGCATGTATCTGTTCTAATAGTCTGGTTTCCTCACCGGCATCTACACATCTCAACAAATCCAAGTCTGGGGTCCTCCTATATAGGACTTCCCCATTAAGGAAAAAGTGATTTTCTAACCTCTTGAGTGCTCGCTTCTGACTATTAGTAGCACCCTCCGGGTATTCTCTTGTTTTGAGGAATCTTTTGATGTCGTGGTACTATGGTTTAAAACCCATCTTGCTCTTCGTCTACATGAAAATAGTTGGCATGTTGATATCTAATTTCTACCTCGATAGGGTTGATATAATTCTTATCTGGATGCTGAATCATGGATGATAGGGTTGCAAGAGCATTGACAAATTCGTTCTGGATCCTGGGAACATGCTTGAACTCGATCTACATGAACTTCTTGCATAACTCTTTTACACAGTGTAGGTGTGGAAGAATCTTGACGTTCTTGGTAGACCACTCCCCTTTAACTTGATGTATCAATAGATCAGAATCTCCTATGACCAAAAGCTCTTTGATGTTCATGTCAATTGCCATCCTAATCCTGAGGATGCATGCTTCGTACTCAGCCATATATTGGTGCAAGGGAAACTTATCTTTGCTGATGCTGGATAATGTTATCCTGATTCTGAAATTAGGAATGCCCCAATTCCTACTCCTTTGAAATTCGTTGCTCCGTCGAAAAACATTCTCTCCAGGGTATGACTCTGGGATATCTTCTCCATGAACAACACCTCCTCGTTGGGAAAATACATAGTGAGTGGTTCATAATCCTTGTCCACTGGATTCTCTGTAAGGTGGTCGGCCAGAGCTTGTCTTTTGATAGCCTATTGGGTTATGTACACAATGTCAAATTTGCTAAGAAGAATCTGACATTTAGCTATCTTTCCGCTAGGCATCGATTTCTGAAAGATATACTTGAGCGGTCGAGCCGAGATATCAAATACATGGTGTATGCTGACATGTAATGCCTCAATTTCTGGGCGATCCAAGTCAAAGCACAACAAGTGTGCTCTATCAAAGTGTATTTGGCCTCACATGGTGTGAACTTCTTACTTAAGTAGTAGATGGCATGATCCTTTCTTCCATTTTCGCCGTGCTATCCCAACACACATCCAAAGGCATTATCCAAGACTGAAAGGTTACAACAATAACCAACACTGGTGGATTTGGCAAATACTCATTCAGTTGAAGGCTTTCTGACACTCTTCTGTCCACTTTGTGGCAGCATCCTTTTTCAGTAGCTTGAAGATAGGTTCACAAATTATTGTAGACTAGGCTATGAAATGGTTGATGTAGTTCAGTCTACCCAGGAATCTCATCACATCTTTCTTACTTTTAGGCGATGGAAATGGCTTTGATCTTTGAAGGTTCCAATTCTATCCCTTTTCCGCTTACGATGAAACCTAGCAATTTTCGAGTAGGGACTCCGAATGCGCATTTTGCAGGGTTCAACTTCAGCTGTACCTCTGCAAGCGTTCGAACAATTTCCTCAAGTTGTCCAAATGTTCTAAACTTTTTTGAGACTTGATGATGACGTCATCCACATATACCTCGATCTCTTTGTGAATCATGTCGTGAAAAAGGGTCATCATGGCCCTCAGATAAGTAGCACCAATGTTTTTGAGATCGAATGGCATGAATCTGTAGAAGTAAACTCCCCAAGGTGTAGTGAAGGATGTCTTTTCTGCATCTTCTTCGTGCATCAGGATCTGGTGGTACCCGTGAAACAATCCACGAATAACTGCAGTTCATGTTTCATGCAGTTGTCGATGCAGATATGAATGTTTGGTAAAGGGAAATCATCCTTTGGACTGGCTTTGTTAAGATCACGGTAATCCACACATATCCTGATCTTCCCATCTTTCTTAGGTACTTGGACGATATTCACCAACGAAGTGGGATAATTGGTGACCCTCACTACATTCACCTCTATCTGCATGGTTACTTCTTCTTTTATCCTCAAACTCAAGTCAGGCTTAAGTTTTTTGGGTTTTTGCTTGATTGGTGGTCTAGCGGGATCAATAGGCAATCGATGCGAAATGATATCAGTACTTAACCCACGCATGTCATTGTATGACCATGCGAACACATTGATGTATTGTCGGAGGAGCTCGACCAATTCTTCCTTCTGCTCTGCTTCTAGATGGATGTTGGTTCGGGTTTCTTTTACATCTTCATGGCTTCCCAGGTTAATTACTTCTGTATCTTCAAGGTTAGGCTTTTTCTGGATTTCCAGCTGTTCGATCTCTAGTGGGAGATTATCTAGCATCATAATCTCGTCTTATTCCTCGTAATCTGGATCGTTTTGCTCGAGGGGTTCGTTACATGTCCAAATTGCAGAACGCGGGTTTTATCATTTTGATTACTGAAAAGAAAAACTAAGTATAAATGAAGCGATAAATAAATTTGCAAAATTTTAAGAAAGCAATTCTTTTTATTTCATCAAAAGAGGAATGTCTGAGCGTTCAAAGAGGCAAATGACAAAAAGGTACAGGCACAGTTCAGGCCTCAATTGACCGTGCACTTTTTTCAAGAAATTTACAATTCCACACTACCAAGACTCTTGGCAAACTAAAGACGGGCTAGCCGTCCGATTCCGTAGGTCCTGTCTTGGTTTGGCATTCCGAATGGTTGGTGTCTTTATATCAATTCCCTCACAGCATTCCTCAATAATGGTCACGAACAACCTTCCCATCCAATCGACGATATCGTCCTCTGGCGCTGAACTCTGGCCCGCACCCAAAACATGCTCTAGCACAAAAGCCTTTTCCCGGAGCCACCGGTCAAGTCTTTCCAGTCGAAGGCTGATACCCTATGCCGGCTCATCCTTCCTTTCTATTTGGCTCAATCGACTCTGTTATCCCGTCTAACCGGGTGTTGGCCCAAGTAAGGTTAGTTTTGAAGACTGACAAAGGAACAAGGCCTCTGATGCACTCTCTTGGTTGCAAGAGCATCACAGTAGCGACAAAAGAGGACTTGGCTATGGGACTCAAGCACCAAAGTGGGACCCTAAAAGCAAGTACCTCACACTTCTCGAGAACAAAATTTGCACACATTGTGGTAAAACTGGTCACTATAAAAGTGAATGTATTGCAAAAGAAAAGGCTAGTCAAAAGAATAAAGAATTTGTTCAAGGGAAAAATAGGCTGCCAGGTTGGGCTAAAAAGAATTTGATTCAACCTTTTGCCTATAGAAAGGGACCCAAACTAGTTTGGGTTCCTAAGACTAACCCCTGATTTCCTTTCGCGGTTCCAAGTGAAGGGGATCAGCCAAATATAATACATGGATAGTGGCTGTTCAAAGCATATGACAGGAAGCAAGAACCAGTTCCTTTCACTTGAGGACCTCAAAGGAGGTAATGTCTACTTTGGAAATGGGAAGAAAGGTGAGATCATTGGGGTTGAAAAGGTAGGTAATACTGACTCTCACTCTATTGAGAATGTCTACTTGATAGATGGCCTAAAGTACAGTCTAATCAGTGTATCACAATTATGTGATAAAGGTAACTTGGTAGCATTCACCACTACCAAATATTTTGTGATTAATCTTACCATTGACAAGATTGTTTTGCAGGGAAAAAGAGTAAACAATACATGCATTGTAGTTTTGTCCACGCTTTCAGAAAATGAACTCACTTTCTTAAGTGTGTTGGACAATGATCCCCTCCTTTGGCACAAGAGACTTGGACATGCAAGTCTGAGTCAACTCAACAAATTAGTCTCCAAGAACCTGGTGATAGGGCTGCCTAACATCAAGTTCAAGGAAGACAAAGTTTGTGAGGCTTGTGCAAGGGGGAAGCAGGTAAGATCCTCTTTTAAATGCAAGAAAGTGGTAAGTACCACCAGAACGATGGAACTGTTCCATATGGATCTCTGTGGTCCAATGAGAATATTAAGCAAAGGTGGTAAAAGACATGTGATGGTGCTTGTTGATGATTACTCTAGGTTTACTTGGACATTATTTTTAACATCTAAAGATGAAGCATTTGACATGTTTACTTCTTTTGTTAGAAAAACTCAAAAACAACTAGGTAATCAACTTGCATCAATTATGTCTGATCATGGAACTGAATTTGAAAATGCTAAGTTTGCTGAATTTTTGCATGCTACATCATAAATATTTGCATGACTAGACCTCTTGTTAAGAAGATTCCCTATGAGTCACTTAAAGGGAGAAAGCTAAATATATCCCATCTTAGGGCATTTAAATGCAAGTACTTTGCGCACAATAATGGCAAAGACTCCCTAGGTAAGTATGATCCCAGAAGTGATGAGGGAGTATTCTTGGGATATTCTTCACATAGTAAAGCTTATAAGATATACAGTAAAAGAACTATGTGTGTAGAAAAAAATGTATATGTTATTTTTTTTAAAACTAACATTCTTTCTGAAAGG